AGATGAAACGAGAATAATCAGAGCTTAAATCAGGGGCAGGGGCCTGTGAATGAGACACCAGCAACTCGTCCGTGTCAGCACGGTAACAATTTCCTGCTTCACTCACCGTGTTTCCTCACAGTTTCATTGACACCTCTATTAATTTAGCAGAAGGAAAAAAAAAAAAAAAAAAAACAGCCAAGGGAGGCTCCGGCTTTGTCTTCCCACAGAGCCCTTTGTTCACACCACTGGGTTAGTTATTTTGCAGGCTCACCCCTAGCTGGGAGGGAGGGAGGAGAAGGCAGAAGGACAAGGAAGCCCATGAGAACATCGGTGCCACGTTGCTGCTGGTTACAAAACCAACAGTTGCACCCCTCTCGTAGCACTTTCACAAGTGAGAAGTGTGTGTGAGCACCGGGAGTATCTCAGATGGGAAAGGGAGGTGAAACTGAACTTAGAGAATGCCTAACGAGTAGGCTCGGTCAAGAGGAAATTTTGCCCCTTGTGAGAGAAGAACACCAAAGTATGTGTTATTTTCCCTATTTTACCTGACAACCTTGTACATCCAGCTGTATTTGTGTCCCAAAACATTCTGGAAAACAGCCACGCGTTTGAATGTTCTCAGGTGTTGTTTTGGCTGAGCGCTAACATTTCTCACTGAATTCCTGTAACGAGCCCCCAAAAAACCCCAAGCCCCACATACTAATCCAGAAAGCTCTCAGCCATGAGACCCTGCCAACTCCAATCACCAAGGGAACTCCCTGGGACTTCTCTGCTGGCCATGACTGGGCACTCCTGCTGCTTTATCCACCAGCATCAGGCCCTCGGCCTGACACCACACGCAGCGGGGCAGCGGCCGTGCACCCACAGTACCTGTCTCAATGTGCCTTTTTCTCCCCTCCCCCTTCTCTGTTCTAGTTCTGTTCTGGGAACAACGTCACTGATGACTATGACTCCAACACCACCATCGACTACACCATGTTTGAGACCGTGTGTGAGAAGGAAGAAGTCCGTAACTTCCGTGCTGCCTTCCTCCCAGCCATGTACTCCCTCATCTGCTTCACGGGGCTGCTGGGGAACGGGCTGGTCATGGTCACCTACATCTACTTCAAGAGGCTGAAGACCATGACAGACATCTACCTGCTGAACCTGGCCCTGGCAGACATCCTCTTCCTGCTCACTCTCCCGTTTTGGGCCACAAGTGCAGCCACGTACTGGTGTTTTGGGGAAACGGCCTGCAAAGCGGTCTATTGCATCTGCAAAATGAGTTTCTTCAGCGGGATGCTGCTCCTCCTGTCCATCAGCATCGACAGGTACTTTGCCATTGTTCAGGCTGCCTCAGCCCACCGCTTCCGTCCCCAAATGATACTCATTAGCAAGATCACGTGCGTTGTCATCTGGGTCCTGGCCTTCATCCTCTCAATCCCCGAGCTGGTTCACAGCGGTGTGAATAACCCAGACAACCATCCCCGCTGCTCCATCATTGCTAACGACCTGCAGACTTTCAACACTGGCATCAAAGTATCCCAAATGGTCTTTGGCTTCTTATTTCCCCTGGTGGTCATGTCTGTCTGCTACCTCATCATTATCAAAACATTACTCCAGGCCCGCAACTTTGAGAAGAACAAAGCCATCAAGGTGATCATTGCCGTGGTTATCGTCTTCATTGTCTTCCAGCTGCCCTACAACAGCGTCATGCTGGCCAAAACCATCTCAGCCTTCAACCACACCACCTCGTGTGAGGAGAGCAAGAAGCTCGACATGGCAGATGACGTGACCTACACGCTGGCCTGCTTCCGATGCTGCCTCAATCCCTTCCTCTACGCCTTCATCGGCGTCAAGTTCCGCAACGACCTCTTCAAGCTTCTGAAGGAGCTGGGCTGCCTGAGCCAGAAGCGCCTCTGGCAGCTGTCTGCCTGCCGTGAGAGCAAGAGGTTTTCCTTTGCCATGGAGACAGAGACAACCACCACCTTCTCCCCATGAGGAGAGCTCCAGGGAGGCTTTAACCAAGCTGAAGGCTGGCGCGGTTTTGTACACTGCTTCTATTTTGAATTACTGATAGAGGAAGACCTGCCACTACTTTAAGAAAGGCAGCTGTAAGAGGAAAACCAAGGAACCTCCCCATATTCCCCTCAATGATCCATCCATTGCTCCCGTGGATGGAGAGACTTTGATAAAGCTATGACTAATAGTAAAGCAACGGAAAGGGAGACCAGTGAGTCTTGAATTTATCATGCCATTTCACCTTTATTTTACTCTTTCCTAGTCTAAATCAGAAATGCTCAAAATAGAATATTTTCCCTAAAAGCAACCAATAGCAAGAGAGACAGACATGCAACAGAACTGTTTTAGAGCTTCCAAGAGCATTGTCCTTGCTTTGAATGTTGCATTTATTAAGACCACCTATTACTCTCCATACATACAAAAATGATGCACTGATTCAGCATTCATGACAAAACAGCACCGACGGACTCAGCCTCCAAGCATAACACAATATGCAATATAAGCTGTGAAGTGTCCTAGCACGCAACTCTCAGCCCTGCCTTCCCTATGAAAAGTGAGAAATTTGCTTAACTAACACCTAATCCATATTTGGCATGATATGCATAATTTCAATAGCTATGCATACGATTGTGGCATCTCAGGTTTGTCAGGAAAAGAACAGCCACTTCGCTTTTGCCTGTAGCAATGATATCTGGTGTTTCACCCACAAGGAAGGTGCATCCTAACAAGCACAAGTTATTGCATCCCAACATTGACTCGTATTCTTTAGAAAAGCTGCTTCACTTTAGCAATAAAGCCTCCTTCAGCTTCTGAAAAGACATCTGCTTGCACAAGGGCTGACACAGGGTTAGCTAGCAAAGTTTAGATTCAAACTTCTTGCACAAAGACAAGTTACAAGAACCAAGTAACTGGTGCCTCCCCAGCCACTGAAGGTACAAACTTGAACTAAGAAACAGATACTTCTGTACAGATCCAGTCAGGTACTCAAAACTATTTTTTACCACCTAGCCATTCAGCCCATCCAAACGTCATCGTTACTACTGACATGATGAGCAAGTCTTTACTCACATGGTTGATATTAAAGCATGTGTTTTGGCAGACTGGTGCAGGAATGCTCAGCATTTTACAGATTCTAGCCCAGGACAAGTTTGTATCTGTTTCTTAAGGAAAGACTTAAATTCAGGATACAGTTGTGCCTATGGTCCAACCACTGCTATTTGCCAGTATCTGGAGCTCACTTTTATCTAGCTTGATCAGCTCCTGTGGACGCAGTCTGCTGATTTTCACATACGTGTGGGGGCTTTCTGTGCTGTTGCTTGCTGACCTCAAGAGATTAAAAAACACAAATGTGGGTTTTCTTCTCCCTTCCCAACCAATGTGTCTTTCTAGAAGGACTTTTGCAGCTGTCTTTTTATGTCAGATACGTATTTCACTTATAAGCTACTGAAAATGTTTTTTGCATTCATACTGGCACTTGTAATAAAGAAGCCATTCACTGCAGTTTGATTTAATGCAAAGGATGGTCATAGCGTTGAAGATTACTGCCAGGGTCATGTACTTGAAAGGAACATGGCAGCTGAACAACAGATTATTGTCATGTAAAACAAGACCTTGAAAAGAAACCCTGAATGTTATGCCAGTTGATGCATTTACTAGAAGAATGAAGATTCCTACGGACAGACAATACCCTGGGAACCGCTGTTACAGGACATCTGAATGTCAACTGGGGAGGAGTTGCTGCAATTGTTTGTGCATCTGTTATTGACTAGCACGCTCTAATCCCCACGGCACACAGCACTCCCCAGAGTCAGACATCAATGGCAAAAGGTCTTGGCCATGAACTGCTCTCGGTGCTGGGCAGGAACCTCACTCAGTGGACATCGCATGCTCACCTTCCAGAGCAGCAGTTGAACAGTTTTCGTTTGGGGAACCTGTGAGGCACATTCCAGTGGACACACAGAGCCATGCAGAGCAAAAGAGACGCCTGCTAAACAGACACACTTCTTTCAATACAACTCATGGAACCATTAGGAGACATGCAGGGAACTTGCTGGATCATAGGTCAAAAACCAGAGATTTTGTTCTAAAGAAACAACAAGATCGGCCTTCAAAGAGAGATTACAGTTAGCTGGTTTTGAGATAATGCTGCCACTTACACCGCTGTCTGACAATCATCTTTAAATAAATTCTCCTTCCTAAACCCTTTGGCTCAGGGATGTGGGATTTTGCCATTCTGCTCTGAGTTACCTATGTTGAGTGACAATCCCATCCAGTTGTTTCAAGCATTTTCTTTTATAATGGCCATGTAATAAATACATATGCAAGTGCTGCTTCTCTGAAATATAAAAGGGGACGGTTAAGACTGACACACTGAATAGTCATTTGTTCTCGTTTTTCCCCTATAGTCCTTGCACAGACAAGGCGCTTGGCTAATAAGAAGTTTGCCAGAGTAAGGAATGCCTATAATACAGAGTCTTTTTAGTTTTCTTCATCAGTAACAATATACTCTTGATATGTATTCATACATGTAAAGCTGCTTTTCATAAAAAAAGTTAAATATGTACACGAATGTACCCTGAAAATACACTGCTTTAACTGAACCTTTTATAAAAAATACACTCACCTAAATTATTCTAGCAAGGAAAACTGCTCCAACAGAAAATGCAATTGTACCCGACTCCTGTTTAATAAAAGCCATTCCCCTTCTACAAGCTGAGAATTTTCTAAGTTTTTGTCAACCAGATGTATTCTAAATAGGAAAACATGCAGCTGCCTTTACAAGAATGAGAAACTAAAGCAGCATGTGGGACAGCTGCATCTGGTGCCCTCTCAACAAGACAGCAGTGACTTCAGAGTGCATGGCTCATCTTAAAGTTTAACAGAGAAAATAAGTCTGCCACTTGATGAAACATATTAATGTTGACCTAAGATCCTAACTTGAGATTCTCTACTTACGTCTGAAAACTGACTGTATTTTGCTACTTGTGGAAAATAAATTATAACCATTTAAAAAATACCTTTGGTTTTTCCCTTGTATTTCCTGCACAGGATGTATCTTGTGTGTATCGTAACAGTTCGTATCATATCCTTCTGATCCTGCCAAGAGCTGTTTGTTGATCACCCTAGCTTCAAATCAGTACTGCCCTGCAGGGGAAAAAAAAAAGTGTAAAACATTCTAATTTTAAAAAAATGTTAGTGTTCCTAATTATACAGTAAACAAGTCACCAATAGATTTAGTAGTGGCGTTTGTCTTTATTTTTACTCTCAAGTTGATTGCCTTAACACTGCCCCAGCATTGAATATACCTGATGATTTTACCATTCACTTTTAATTTAAAAAGTCAGTAACGAAAACACCACATTATTGTGCAAATTGCTCACAGGGAGAGGCAGTAACCACAGCTTAAAAACCTCCGTACACAGGCATAGCAGCAACTGACGCATTAGTTGAGATGAGCTGCCCATCTAACCCAACTCCACATCTCAAACTGACCGATGCTGCATGATGAACACACACAGACCATTTCTTCCTGACCTCCCCTGCTAATATAGCCCCCAAGGTACACAGGGGTGGTCACTACCCTTTACAAAACCGTCTTATAACTGTAACCATGGAATTAAAGAGAACAGAAAACGAACCTCAGAGAAAACCAGAAGATGTGACAAATGTCTAGCTTAACGTTTGAGTGCTAAAAGTAAGGATCATTTCTGCTCTCACTATACAATGCACATTTCTCCCTAGAGAGAAAGTGTTCGGCTAGTTTCAGCATCTGGTCCAGAGGTTCAAGTAGTGATAAGAAGCATCTCAAGACCACTGCACCGCAATACCACTCTAGATAATAGGTCTAAACCCAAGGCTCCTTAAATAAACATCAGGTCTCACTCACCACAACTAGGTCAGAAGGCTCCACTGCTCTGGAATCCAGGGAAATTATCTGCACGAGAGACACAGCCTGCTGAAGCAGGAGCTCTGAACCAGACCACACAAACCATGAAACAGGACTGGAGTTGTGAGAAGGCTGCTGCACTTACAGCAACTCCCTAACAACTCCCTCCGCTTCTCAAAAGTGACTGTAAATCAGACCTTTAAACAGGAAAGTTCCTGAATTTTAAGAAAGCAGATTAGAGCTTACAACCCTGATTTAAACTAGTAAAACCCAGCCCACCAGGCAAGCACCCAACATCACACTTTAAACCATAAACATCCCAGACAAACCAGGCAGAATCTGTTCTGCACAGAAAAAGTACATTTCCAGAATGGATTTAACCCATTTTAGTAACTTTCACCAGCAAGACAGAAGAATAAACTCTTCATTGGGGGGAATGGACCAACCTCAGTCTGAAATCTTTACAAAATCAATTAAAAAAGCCTGGTCCTCGTTACAGAAGGGGGACATGGGCTGTAATAACCTAGCTCAAAAAGTCCCACAGAGTCGTGTGGACTCCTGGTGGTTCTTCTGACACCTTCCTGCTCTACGTAAAACATCACTGCTCATTGCTTCTCCTTTCTTGTCAGTTCATTGTTACTTTTTTTTTTTCCACTTGCTGGAGAATGAACTGACGAACACGATGGTGAAGGGGAACATTCTCCAGGCATAGCTGTGGTTGCTGATGTGCCACCTGGGTAGCTGCGGGAGGGAAGTACTCGTAACCCTAAGAAAGAATGAGCTGAGGCAAACAAACCCTAAAAATAATGTACGTGGGTGATGAGGAAGGGTGGCGTCACCCCGCAACAATCAGGGTAGCTGAGGGTGGGCTACAGTTTCCTCTCCCCACATCTTCTTTTATATGGAAAAATAAATCAAGCTCCTGTTCTCGGGGTGGAGGTGTCAGTTCTCAGGGGAGAACTTTTTTCATGGCCAATGATTTTTCCCCCCCAGGTGTCTCCTTACCCATCGAGGCATCGACCCCTTCTTCCCCAAGGCTGCTACTGATGGGTTCCCATTCCACACCAGGGTATTTCTCCTTTCAAGCTGAGCCATCACAGGATGGTTCTGGGGAAACTGAAATCAGCTGAGGTCTCAGCTGCCCCTTGTTCATACCATCACAAGCAGCTCCGTGACCTCCAAGTGGGTAAAGCCTGAGGAGACTGAAAAGCAATGACCTTTTTTATGGATTAAATCAAGGCAGGACCACCTCAGAGCCTACTGCTGTGCAGCTGACATAGAGGGAAAAATGACTAGATAAACTGCGTCATGTGGCATTTAATGACAGCAGCACAACCCACTGCCAGCCCACCTTACTACAGCTCCTGGGGTGGTGAGAGTATGCTTTGGAGGGCTGGAGAAGAGAATTCTCCTTTTACACAATGAACTCTCTAGCACTGGATGTGAAAGACCATAAAGACCATAAATACAAAAGGCACACAATGGGATGGGACCTTAACAGGGTTTTGTCGATTTTTTTCTTACACATTCCCTGAAACTGTCAGCTCATTCCTTGTGTTAGTAGCCGAATGCACCATACCAAATGACAAGAATGAGAAAGGAGTAAGAAGATGAAAAGAAGGAGGTGGCTGACTAGCGAAATAAAGATTACCTAGCAGTATTTGCTCTCTGTCTTTTCCTGCTTGAGTGCCCGAACCTCCAGCCTGGCACTGAGCAATTCTACTCCAAGGAAATACAACCAACGTAGCTTCCATTTTTTGTGTGTTTCCAGGAGTGGTACAGCAAAGGGAGAGGACTTTTGGGACTGATCCAATGGTCAAAACTTTGGACAAGAGCTAGGAAATGTAGGTCCTCTCCCTGGCTCTGCTACTCAGTGACATGAGTCAGTCCTGTACCTCTTCCCCAAGCACTGAAGCAGGGATGGTAACGTCACTTTGCCGAAGCAGCAATAGGAGAACTTAGCTCTATTACGAGTGCCACAGATAGGAGCCTTCCCACTCCCTTCTTGAAACAGAAAAGCAGTCCCAACACGTTCAGGTTTTGCAGAAACTGCAAGTTTTCAAGTGCGCACATGCAGGGTTGTGAGTAGCGGGCTAGCCTATTTTCAAACTGCACGGGAAGTTAGTTTTCACTTTCACCTTCCCGTAAGACCCCAGTCCTTCACAGAGCTGAGACCATTACCTGAGCAAGGAGTGAAATCTTGGTAGCGAACAGCACCTGTCATTGCCACAGCTCGTTACAAAAACCTTATTCAGGTCTTGGCAAGTACAGAGGCTTTTGGTTCATGTAGGCATGATCTCATGTATTTGTCATTGCTGAACCCATGCAAATCTTCAGCTTGCAGGAACTGAAACTCTAACTTCCCTTCTGCTGCTTTGTTTTTTTAATTCAATTGTCTAAAATAAGATAGCGAGCAGATATTTACTTTCTTTACTGACAAGCCCTGTTGCACAAAACCCTAATTTCTGAGAGATTAAATGCTTGACTGGGAAATTTCTGTGACTGATGACCAATTCTAATGCCTAAAATCATCCTCCAAGCAAAGAAAAGCCCAAATCATCTCCAGTGCCATAAATAGTCCAAGAAGCATTCCAGGATTCAAAGCCTGCGCACATCATCCTTTAACGAAACCAGAGCTTCTCCCACGTATTCTCGTTCTTTCTTCTTTAACGTGGCCTAAAATGCACAGAAAGCAACAGAAACCTTCGCGAAAAGTCTTTACATTACCTTGGGAGCTGGCATGCATTTTTCATGCTATGCAACATGAGAGGAGGAGAGGCAAAATCCCAGTGGATATATACGTGCAACCAAGCGTACTTCTGAAAAAGCACAGGAAAGAGAAGCTACTTACTGTGTTTTTCCCTAGGTGCTGACAGTTTCATTGGCTTTGCAGCCAGAGCAGATGGATTTCGTGTGTCTGTTAAGGCTTGAAGAATCCTAAAACTGCTGCAGAAGCCCCGGGTAGTGGCAGGACCATGACAAATTCACTGACCTCAGCAGTCTGTGCCTGTCCTGGAGGTCACGCGGCAGTGTAAGCCTCAAGAGCTGTGCTCCTCTGGGACAACATCCTAATTTGTACCACTCTAACCGACAACTTCAAGTGGCCAAGTGCTTCCAGAAACAGAGAAAGGCTTTTAAAAAAGGCTCTTAACCTGCCACGTAATAAAAAACAAAATCTTCACAAGTGACTCACGAGTTAAAGCACCTTTTCCAAAGACCCCTTCAAGCCTTCATTTCCAAGAAACGCGAGTGCTTTTACATGTTTCACACACCCAGCAAATGCAACCTATTTCCTACCCAACCATCTGAAAATGAAGGTGCTGAGTTGGACCTAGAAAAATCTCTGTCTGACCAAGGTTATCACTGGTTACTTCCTCAGATTTTGATCCTGCGGGCCTCGTGCGGTCTAGAAATTAAAGTTTGGCATTCTGGTTTACCAACTTTAATTACAAGGAGAGTCAACGTGCCCGTACCCTGCTGAAAATGGTGACTGGTGGCTGCAGAGGCCTCCTGCGCTCCAGTTCCTTCATGTCAACAGGTAGTCAGCACAACCCGAGACTTCTGCAGTACCCACACCGTTTTGCATCTTATTATCAGGGAATCAGCCATCTACATGCGAACGTTAATGTGGAAGGAGGTGTGAACACACACACGTGTTCAGGTTTGCATGGCTCCCAGCAGAACTGGTTTCAGATTCTGGGGGCTATGGCAGCAAAATTCAACACCCCGCTAAATCTCGCTGCCAGAGCTGCACAAATAAAAGCTTATGTTTTTAGGGGAGAGTTGACTGATTCCCTTGATGATAACACGTTTCTTCTTCTAACTTTTGGCCACACCAAGCAGTGAGAAAGAATCTCTACCCCCGTGCCAGGGCGGGGAGGGGGAGAGGGAAAAACAAGTCTCTTTCTGGATGACTAACACAGCCAGCAGCTCTTGCCACTCTGCTCTCAGCCCTGCTCTTCAACGGGGAGTTGCACAAGGCTCCTTTGAAGAGGTTAACACCTTCTCAGTCGATTCTCTTCTGCATTGCCAGAGGGTCACAGGTAGCTCTAATGCTTGTGCTCAAACTTGACAACCCGACCGCACATGGAGGTGAGCTTCCGCAAGAGGCACGGAGCTGAACTCCAGCAGACACAGCTCACACCAGGTGCAAGGTGGCAAATAACCAGATCTTCACAAGAGTCATCAAAATGTCTTCGCTGCCAGCAAACCCAACACACCCATCTACCAGCAAGCAAGCCCTCAGTGCCTGGACCAGCTAACAGAGCCATGAGGCCTGCTGTCGGAGACCTGGAGGCTGTTTGAAAGCACGCTGCAGACAAGAAACATCAGAGGAGGTCTCGGAGCCATCAGAAACAAGACCTGAAGTGCTGTCAGAGCCTGCCTCCCCAGCTAGGCATCCTGTTTGGGGCACAACGAGGGCTGCAGCCGTGGATGTGCACCCGCCTGCTGCTGGTGGGGCACGGCCTGTCATCCTGCAGGCCTGCACGCAGCTCTGCTGCCACGCACGACACCTCCAGCAGCAGAGCCACCTCTGCTCCTACACAAGGGTGATGAGACGATGCACCAGCGAGGCATCAGGGCTGCAGAAAAGCTGCCCCACTCTGGGGGTTTAGGGCTTCTGGTACCTGCCTGCCTCAGAAACCTGCTCCTGAGCCACTGTGGGAAGCAGGCGATGGAATGCGACGTGGTCTGAGCCAACACTTCCCAAGCAGACACGGCCCTGAGCCACAGCCCTCGGGCTGGCACCACAGCAGGAACTTCTCCCCGGGGAGGTTGTGTCTCTGTCCCATGGGATCGCAGTTTAAGCAGCCTGCTAGGCGCAGTCAGACCGTGGTGTGTCTTGGATGTGTTGCATGTGAGGCATACCACACCTTCCCACCTGCCATGCAAAATGTTTTTGGGTGGAAAAGTGCAGGGAGAAGTGGAAAAAGAGAGCTTGGATGTGTCCATTAGACCTGATGGCTCTAATGACTGGCCATGCCTTACAGATCCAATACAGCTCTCTGGAAAGAAGGGAGCAATCTCCTTGCCAAGCAGTAACAGTGATCTTCAGCTTGGAAATTAATTCCCTTTATAATCAGTAACACAAAAGGAGTCTTTCCTTACAAGGCTTTTCCCCCTGCACATGAAGTTTGTCAGGCACGGCACGTGCCCTGAAACACACTGCAAACTGAAGCCTCAGTGACCGGCAACCAAGATGAAAACAATTCCTCCTCCTTCCCTCAAGGGGAAGCTATCTGAAGAGAAAAAATACAGATTATATGCAAAGTCAGGTAATAGAAGGCACTCTGACAACCTCCCCAGGCACTAGAAGATAACCTCTGGAAAGCCATGACAGCACAGCTGGGCTCCAAGTGACCCACATCACACATGGAGCAAGTCCACAGGTCCCAGTCTGCTTCTGGTTCTGGTCACCATACAGTACTGGTATCTGTCTCAGCTCCCTGTCAGTAAGCTGTGATTTATATTAAAAAAAAAAAAAAAAAAGCTGCATGGACATCATCTCCCCCACAACCCTCCCTCCAAGTTGCTCCCTCTCCCCTCTTGCTTCCAGTAACCCAAAAATAAAAAAGCATACTGTTCTTGGAAGAAGCCTTCCAGCCAAACCTGATCTCTGTGTGAGCAAGCAAAGACAACCAGAAAGAGCTGACTCTTTGAGAGATGCTGCCACCGCGTGGGAAAGGCTGAGAAACGACTGCTCCATCACAGCCAGCACCACGCTGCTCCCAAGGCAGCCAGGGACTCCTGGAGTAAAAATCTCGGGAAAAATTATCCTCTAAAACAAAGGTGGGGCTTCAAAAAGTACTAGGGAAATCAAATCGGAGTCCTCTGTGGGTTGCCAGGCTAAAAATTTTAGCTTGGTTTAAATTAAATATACTGGAAGTGCTTTTAAAATGGCCCTGATCAACTCTCAATCAGACTGCACAGGTCTTTTCTACACGATTTCAATAATCCACTTTTCAATTCTGTGCTCCCTCATCTAACCCATGGAGAGCTCAACTTCTTCTCTGTTATCACATGTGGCTCCAAAACCTGCACTTTGGCAGCAGCCCTTTGAAAACCAGTTGCCTTGAACACAACAGCAACTTCTACAAACTCCCACAATCAGCCAAACCCCTTGAGCCCTGCACTGCTCCCACATCCACCACCAAATTCAGCTTCAGCTTCTGAGCTCTTCTAGATGACCCAAGGAGTACAAGTTGTCATTTAAGCCAAGATTTCAACTAGCTCTTTGAGTCATCAGGTGTTTTTATGCAGCAGCTGAGAACAAACTCACCTGGGGCATAAATTTTACAACATTAAAAAAGCCACAGCAGTAGAAGTTAGAAGAGAAATTTCTACATTAGGTGGTACGTGTGTTAACTGCTAGTGAGTTTCTAGCTTCCCTAAAATTCCACCATCTTAACAGATTGTTGGGTTTATGGTACAGGTAATTTTCAATGTTTTTCAGCAAAAATGCATGTGAAAGCTTACAGAATTAGGCTGTTTCTTACATAGTGGGGAATATTCTTAATTCAGACACTGGTGGCCAAACCCCTTAAACACTGCTTCCATGAAGCCTACACTTGCAATATGCATGGGACACAATTTACCTTTGTACACTATTTTTTAATGTGGTCTGATACGGGGACAATTGCTACTTTCAACACATTTAAAAACCCCTCCATCACGATACATTTCCTGTGCTCAAAACCAGAAGAGGCCCTGCGATACTCCATCCTTCTCATCCACGCCATCCACCGCTGTGGAGGGACTCCAACACCCAAAATAATCATAAGGGTGCATCGCAGGGCTCTGAAACGTAGCTCACTACCTCCATTTCACCTTCAAACATGCTAATTGCAAACTGAAACCTTCCTGGCTCCATGTGGGTTGGCCTTGGTAGTGCCTCTTTCCCTTGTCTGCATAGAAAATCAGTCCTTTCTTTGCGGCTTTCTGTAGAAGTTAAATGAACAAAAACAACTCAGATTGCTCCACCTATGCAGCTGGCTTTTACCTGAAGGGGATACAGCCCACAGTCCACACTCCACCCACAAAAACCTTAAAGAAATAAACATACAGTGACATAAAATCTGTTATCAAGGAAAGTTTCTCCACACCCCCATACAAAAACACTTCAGTATTTTGTTCTCCGAGATGCTGCCAACCTCCTCCCCACGCAAACCAGAACGGGTGCAAGAGATAAAGCATCAGACATCCCCTTTAAGGCTCAACGCTAGACGTTATCCAAATACCATTAAAATCTAGGAGACGTGCAAGAGGCAAGGAATTCCTGCTGTTTTCTAAAAGATGCCCAAGCAGACCGAAAAATAAAATTAGCAATGCAATGATAAATGGAATTAATAGTGTGTTTGTGCATGACACTGTTACAGCAGGAAAGATTAGCTTGGAGTAATTGAGCAAGAACTGTCCTTTAATTACACCAGAACTGCCAGCAGAATAGCCAAGGTCACATTTTGAGCATGAGTCTCTTCCCACTGCTCAGAAAATGTGGGTTTTATCACTGATGGCAGACATCTAGGTGCAGGGCCAGGCACTGCAGGGTAGGCTGCTGAGACAACAGGGCTTGAGTGGGATGGCAGCAGGGAGCAGTGTGACTGTTTGCTGTGCTGCTGGTCCAGCTGCAGAGGCTCCAACCTCCTCCCACAGCTTTTAGCGAAGTTCCTCAGCCCGTGAACAAATGCCAGAGGACTTGAGAAGGTTGCTTCCCCTCTTACCTGCCGCAATGCCGTTTTCTGGGGTCTCTTCTCCTGGCTGAAGCTCTCTCCACTGCTGTGGTGCTCCTGGACATGGCACATCCCCCAGCTTTCCCTGCAAAGTAAATGTGCAAGGGCATTGGTTCCAGGTTTGACAGGCTCTGGACAACAGTGCAAAGCCAATCTGTAGTACCAGGGCTTCTGTTAAGCCTCCCCATCCTGCCATTTCAGCTTTCTAGGCACTTGGGTGCTCTTCTACGCATGCCCATGGTTGACTGCACAGAAAACTACCCAGCACCTGCAAGCAGGTGGACAACGCACCAAAGCCATACAGAAACCTCTCAATTCCAGCTTTAACTTTCTCACACTTGCTCTATGCTCTGTCTCTGCCCTGGTGGTTCACTTTGCTGAGCAGAGCACTCGGCGTGCCGTGGCTTTGTGAACCGATTCCTCCCGATTTCAATGAGACCCGATCACATCTTCACCACGGGCTCTGAAGAAGCAGCAGCCTGAGGGATGACAAATGCCTCGGCGCAGAGCCTGGCCCTTTTGAGATCTGTTTCTGTGAGATCTGGTTCCCTTCCCAGCTTGCCTACTCGTTCCCTGCGTGATCCTAGACCAAACACTGCGGAACAGCAGGTCTCAATCCCATGCTATAAAACGGAGCCATTAACACTTAATTTCTCTCATCCACCGTCTGCCTAGATTGTAAGCTCAGTAGGGAAGACTCTGCTCGTACCGCGCCTAGCATGAAAGGGCCTCCAGATGTAAATGAAATATAAAATAATAAAAATAATTTAAAATCCCCAGCAGGCAGCTGTGGAAGTAGCAGGACAGAAGAGAAACACATGCTGGCCTTTTAACGACAAAAATAAACACCCTCCAGGCGGTGAGGAGGCTGCTGAGCCCCACGGCTGCAAGGTTTCTCATTGCTTTCCTGGGATGGGCCTGCAAACCCCCAGCTCCAGATCCCACCAGGCAGGTCGAGATCCCATTAAATGCGGTCTTAAATTAAAAGAGGACCGAATTAGACCAGGTATTAGGAGGAATTCTGCACTGTGGGGGTGTGAGGCACCGGGACAGGCTGTGGCTGCCCCATCCCTGGAAGGGCTCAAGGCCAGGCTGGATGGGCCTTGGCCAACCTGACCTGGGGGTGGTGTCCCTGCCATGGCAGGGTTGGAGTTCGATGATTTTTGGTCCCTTCCAACCCAAACCATTCTGTGGTTCTGTGATTTAGGGGAAGAGTGGGGACGGTCACCACCGCCTGTGCGACAGCATCCCACAAAGACCTTGCAGCCAAACCACACTGGGGACAAAACGGCACTGCCAGAACTGATCCCAGCGCCCCCCAGCCCCAAAGACACCCCACCTCTGGAGCCCCCATGGCCCCAGAAGCCCCCAGCCCCAAAGACACCCCGGGACTCCCCAGCCTGGCCCCACAGCAGCCACAGGCCTGGCCCCAAAGCTCTGAAGACCCCTGAGCCCCTCAGCCGGGCCCCGGAGGTGCTGCAGCCCCCAGCCCCTGAGCCCCCACGACCCCCACAGCCCCCTAAGACACCATGGCCCTGCAAGACCCCATGGCCCCCATAAACCCCACAGCCCCCCAAGACCCCAGAGCCTCTCCAGCCCCCAGCCCAGCCCCCCAAAGCCCCCCCAGGTCCCTCGTGCCCGCACTTGCACGCCCGTCCCGGCGCGCGCGCTCGTGCAACAGCACATGCACGCGCACAGGTGTGACTGCACGTGCAGGCGTGCAAAAGAATCACGCGCAGCACGTGCAACGCACGTGCAACGCCGTGCAACGCCACGTGCACGCCCGTGCACGCACGCCCGTGCACGCACGCCCGCGATCGCGCGCGTCCCGCGTGCGCGCGCCTCGCCCCTTCCCGCCACCGCCGCGTGGCGCCCCCTGGCGGGAAGCGCCGCCAGCACCGCGCTCCCCGAGCACGTGACCGGGCGTCACCACTCCCTCCGCACCGGGGGGGGGTTACGAAGCCCTGCGCCGTCCGCCTGAGCTCGGGGAGCTGCGAGGGACCGCGCGTTTCCCCCCCCTCCCCCTCGCAGCTTGGAGTTTCCCGAGGCTTTAAAGGGCCGGGCCGGGCGGGCCCACTGGCACTGCTCAGGGTGGAGCTGGTGGGGGTGGGTCTGGTGCTCTGAGGCCTATCTGGGCTCCTTTTCAGGGAACCACGGCAAAAAATAAATAAAAAATAAAAAATGTCTCTAAGATAGGCTCTTGTTGGTCACAAGCAGCCTGTAGGGCTGTGCTGAGGTGTTCACAAGCACTTCATGGGGCTGTACTTGGGGCTTGGGCGGCGAAGGCCCTGTAATGGCGACGTTGTAGGTGACAGGAGCCATGAGGAGCGGTCAGAAGGAGCTGGAAGGGGAAGGGGCAGCGCTGCAGGCACCTGCTGGGGGCTGGTGTGAGGAGAGCTGAGCCCTGAGACCCCCCCGATGTGCTGGGTTGGGTCACTGCTGTGCCTGTAGTAATGCAGTTGTAATAATCTATAAAATGTCTGTAGTAGTATAGCTGCACTGAGTCACTGCTCAACCTGTAGTAATAAAACTGTCTGAGGTGAGTCACTGGTTAACCTGTAGTAATAAAACTGGTGGGTCAGTACTTGTTCTGTAGTAATAAAACTGTCCTTAGTGAGTCACTGCTGGACTTGTAATAACGTAATGGTCTGTGCTGGGTTACTGCTGACCCTGTAGTAATATAACTG